AAACCTGCGGGAAACTCTGCAAAAAACGCATCTTCGCACGGGCAGCCCGTGCGTTGGCCATTTATTGACTGCTGATTTTCAACCCCACCTGTTCTGTGCGTCAAGCTCATGCAACATATTAGTCATTTCGCTAGTATGCATTGAGGATTTTGTCATCCGTAAAACATGAGTAATTTGACTGTTCGCTAGTGCTGTTCAAAGTTATCTTTCTAAACCACTTTTGCAATATTCTAAAACGAGACAACCTGTAAAAAGTTTGATCGATAATGAAACTTCGTGCCTTACGCCTTCTTAATCGTAGTGTTAAGTGGAAAAAGTGTGTTTGTGGAAGAGTCTGAATGTTCTTCTTTTTTTTACATTCTTAGCAATTTTCATATATTTTCAACCGTGAGAATCTCCACGCACAGTTTTTATGCGTTTTGCACTGCAATAGTTGCACAAAACGCATATTGTCGAGACCTTGTCTCGGTGCGTATGTGTGTGTATGTGTGTGTGTCTGTGTGCGTATGTATGTGTGTGTGTGTGTGTGTGTGTGTCCTTGTCCTTGTCCACATCCAGCGCAAAGATTTTAAATTCGACCTTCATGCACTCCCAAGTCCCATGTACGTACACGTCAAAGTTTAAATCGTCATCGTGCCAACTCGAGAATTAAGTTAACTAAGAAGTGTGGTGAGCTATAAATTTGCAGCTTTGCTTGTCGTCACTGATGTGTCCTTCTGAAAATAAATTGTGAATCAAAGCCTTTCTGTATCTCACGTATGGACACGTGACGTAGCAGTTTTGTAACATCAAAACTGAGGCAGTTAGAGGGCTGGAACTTTTTGAGCGTAGCCCACGATGGCGTTTGGGCAGGGCGCGTAAAAAACTTTCGCGTTTCCTCACACATACGAAATTATGAAATTTAATGTGACTCTGCAATCAGAACAGCCTGTAGTGCAGAAATTTTTTGAGCATGGCCCAGGACCGTGTTTGGGCAGATACACATGAAAAAAACATTCACGTTCCCTTCAGGCACACGTAAACACATGGAATTTGGCGCAACCTCGCAACTGAGGCATCTAGAGTTCTAAAGTTTTTCGAGCATGGCCACAACTGAGTTTACTACAAGTTATTGTAATAATTTCTGACAGTCGCGATAGCCAATCTCAATTCTTTTAACTAGAAGCATCTGTCGGAAAAAACAGTGCCGTTGGCGATGAAAACCTGCGGGGAAACTGTGCAAAAAAAGTGTCTTTGTACTGGCAGTTTTGCGCGGTCGAATTATTTTATTCATCTCCTGTAATGCTTCCATGATTCCGAAGATCCTCGTATCCGGCAAACGAGATCAAGCGCAATAGGCTCGTTTTGCGTGGTCGAGAAGCTTTTTTGCCTTGGTCGATTTCAGTAGCTTTATCTCTTCCCCATCGATTTGTACGCGCTTTGTGCAGCAACAAATATACATGCGTGTTAGTGTGCGTGTGTGTGTGTGTGTGTATGTGTGCGTGTGTGCGTATGTACGTGTGTGTATGCGTGTGTGCGTGTGTGTGCGTGTGTGTGTGTGTGTGTGTTTGTGTATGTCAGGATGCGTTTTATCCTGGATTTTCAACTTTGTAACCAGTGGAGTTAGGAGTCCGGAATTTCAGCAGGATATTCCATGCCTGTGTACGGCCCCGCAGATCTAAATTTAGCTTGCACGCACACTTGCACAGAGACACTGATTATGATATATATATGAAAATATAAGATTATATTAAAACATTAAATGAACAAAATTGTTCCGGTCAGGTTATATGCATTTCTGTGCAGCACCACAACTGAATCTTGCCAGCATGATGGTTTTGATTTGCTAAAATAAATAAACAAAAGGAAACAAATTTTGTAAGAAGCGTATACCACGGACACGTAGGAAATTTTTGACGAAAAAATCATTAACTCGGGTATCAGGAAAACCGGAAAGCTGAAATTTTAGGAGAATGTGTAATGCCTATATGCGACTATATAAATCTAATTTCATCTTCCAAGTACGCCCATCCTGCAGCCTATCTTTCGCACATTTGGGATTCATTCCTAGCAGCCGCTTGATTTCTAGCTGTCCACTTGCCACCATTAATCGGTTTGAACAGCGTACAAAGCAATAGTGTACTACCCGAGGCTAGTCGGACAAAATGCAGCACATTGTCTTATCACCACACACGAAGCTGGGGAGTCTGTACTCCATTGTGCCTCTACACCACTACTCTTTTGCCACTCGCACACCGCGGTGATGCGCTTAGGTCGGAAGTTGCAAGAAAATTTTATAAATATTACAGGAAGTTTACATACCTGTTAAAAATACAATGGATCCGCCACCAGTTCTGTCGGAGCGAAAAAAATACCAGCGGTTTCGACCAAGAAAGTTCATTTGCGAGTTATGCGAGAGTGGGTTCACATTAAAGCACAACCTCCAAACACACTTGCACACATATCATCCAGATAACCGGAAATATTGGCCGCGACGTCGTGGGAAAAGATACAAATGCACGCAATGCCAGATGGTCAGTAAATTGTTCAAGTAATTCGCGCAGAAGTCTCATTTGAACTTTCTTAAAATATTGTAACTGAACATGATACTGTGATGGTCTTTCCGGCCTCCTTTGCAGCACAAGCACACTAGACTGTTTGTTTTTTGGCACTCACGATCCATCTTGTTATTGATTTTTCTGCTGGCAATGAATGGTTAATATGCTAGGGGTTCGAGAAAATTTAAAACGCTATGCATCACGCATATGCGAGAACTGAGACGTAGCTAAAACTCAGCAAAACTGAGCCAAGTTAAACTCTCTGCAGCGGTACTGCTGAATTCTAAAGTACAAGATTCGCCGAACTGTTGTCTGAAGTGGTTTAATGCTGGAAAAGTAGTTAATGAAGAACTAGAACAGCCGTACTTTTAATATGCTGCAGCGACATGAAAACGAGACTTGAGAATTATGTTTAGAGACCTGTTCAACCAAAGTGTTCCCTCTCAGTTTCTAATTTTGCAGTTGTTTCGAGTATTTAACGCAGCTGTCCGCCATCGAGACCGAGCACACAGAGAGCGAAGCCGGCCAAAATGTAACGAGTGCCAAAAGGAATTCCCATCACCGTCTCTGCTTCGTGAACACAACAACGTCGTCCATCTGTTAGTTTACATCTTGTCTTGATGGAACAAGCATTAATTAGTGGTTCTGTGTTCTACTGTGTGCTTGAGAGAGTAGCGCTATTAGTATTACTGGGAGGGTTTATTAAGGAAAACCCTAGAAAGTGACGCTTGCATTAATTTTTCACAGAATATCTTGGCAAACATTTCTTAACGTTGTCTGTCCGCTTAGCTACATTAGCTTCAGAATTACGAAAGCTAAAACGAAGCTGAAATTTTGGGAGCACAGTCCGAAGCGCGTGCGGGGTCACGAATCGCAATATATTTTCACCTGTTTTAAGCCCCATTAATGATCTCAGTTTCTAATACAATTAAATTTTGCAACTCAAGAAAGAATAAAGTTATCGATTCGAAATTATAACCACAAGTACAACACCCAGTGATAGTTAAAATGTTTGAAATAAATCTCCCGGATCTGTAACCTCAGGTCGAAATTTAGGCAGTTTTTACACCATCAGAACGAAATGACCTCGGAACCCGAAGTTTTCAGCTTATAATTATAGTTACCCATGCAAAACAGTAAAGAAGCCAGAAAGCAGCTTCAGAATCCGTTGTTTTCTGACCTTACAACTTCAGGCTAATTTTGTAAGTTAAGGTAGTGAGAAACCACAAGGTCTGAATTTTTGGATTTAACTAATGTATAATGAGACTAAAATGACTGAGAAACAAATCTTAAATAAGCCTATGTGGTAACCTTCCACTAATCATGCTCCCACAGTCTAGTTCTGAATTAATTGCGCATTCAGCGTCGATTTTTTTTTTTTTTTTTTTGTCACTGGGAGGCTATACCACTTGCTGCCAAAAGTTCAGTACGTGAAATGCTGTTTTCATAGCATTAGTATTTAGAAATTTGCGCCCATTTAAATGCGCAAAATGCTCCGCGGTATTTGGTCGTCAAGCATGCTTGCGTCGTCACGATATGACATGTCATCAGGACTTCCGTCATCTGTGTCCTTATGAGGGCTGCACACACATTGGCTTCAAATGCACCAAGGTAATGTTTTCATTTTGCTGCACTCACTGATCAGTAACAAATTTTATCTTTTATCTTCCGGAAAGAACTCACACACATTCGTAACGCCTGGAAAAGAAACCCGCTTGCAGTGCGTGGGAGCTGTATGTACAAAAACAAAATATTAGGTTCCGGGGGTACAAATTAACAGTGCTTTATCACGCTACGTTAAGGCCATGTTTCGTTCGAAATGTGTATGACTGGGGTCAAGAAACATACTCTGCTACTGGTGCACAGCAGTGGCAACTCATGTTTAAGGAAAACCAAGGCTGGAACGCACCGGGCTTGCCGGTGCGATCATGCGCTTCTGCACTAAACTCGTGGGTCGCTAATAGCAGGAATAATTCCTGCGCTGCAGCCAAACACTTGGGCTCATATTGGCCATGCTTTGATTTCATCCGGCGTGCAATAGAATGGGCATCGGTTGGGATGAGAGTGTTGTATTATAGAGTCACATGGGCCTGCAGGTACATGATTACCAGTTTTTTGCATGAAGCCCGGTCGTTTTTTCAATAAATGCTAGGTTTTTGAAGAAATGAAAGTGCAATCTTTTTTTGAAAAAATGCAAATTTCCAGTTCACTAAAAAGTGGAAGTACTGCTCGAGCGGTCGTTTGTGAAAGTATCCAAGTATGAAAATGAACTAATGTTCATTTACATATTTGGATAAGGGCGGCCGTTCGCTGCAATACGCACTCGTTTCTAATTTTTCGGTAAAGTTGAGTATTTCTCATGCCCACGTGCAGGGAATTTCACTTCCAAACAGAATTAAGACCGCACTTAAAAGTAGAATATCCCAGCAAATTTTCAGTCTCGCAACTTATCTGGCAAACGAAATATCCACTTCGCGAAAAATATCTTTAAAGTGCCCTAAGTCTTGGCGCAAGTGTAAGTCGGTATTCATTTTAGGTACACTGTTTTCTACATGGGATAAAAACGTCCTGACAAAATTTCAGCCAATGTTTTCTGGCAAGTTTTCGAGTTAGCATAGTACCCAGTTACAGACTTTGACTTGGTCGTACGCGCTGCACAAGCGTGCGCAGCAGCTGAATTTGAAATTTTTATCTCATACATACACAGAGAATATCCCTGCAAAGTTTCAGCTTTGTGCCTTGCCTGGTTCGCCAAATCGTTTCCCGCCAACGAAATTTGCATATTTTTTGGGGATCCGTGCGCGGGCTCTATGCGCATGTGAGGGAAGATCTTAAAACGGGAGGGTGGCACACGGAGTAGGAACATAGACCTGAAATTTCAGCCTTCTAGCTTTGCTGGTTGCTCAGATGAAAGTGGGTGACAAAGTGCGCTCGCTTCCGCATACATACACACAAGCACGCACACACACATACCCACACAGAGAGAGCCTCTCGACAATATGCGTTTCTGCTGGCTGTAACAGCGCTATAGCACTATAACGCTGCACAGCAAGAACGCGTGATCGCACTGGCAAGCTTGAAACGTTGCAGCCTGGTTTTTAACTGGGCAAGATTTGAGCAATAAAAAAATCATTGGCGGCGCGCACCAGACCGGTCCGTGCGATCGTGCATTTTTACAGTATTTCGTGCTGTAATGAGATCGCTCGGAAACTTAGGGCACAGCAAAAACGCATAAAAATGAGACATTATTTGAAGGCTCTATCACAATTGAGTTCACTGGATGTGTACTTTATGTGGATGGGTGTGAGGGATGTTGCACGAGCTTGGAGTACAAGGATGAGCATTGAAAGGTGCGGCATTTGTTTGAGAGACCTGACGTGGGGGAGGGAAAGGTTCTTCGGTTAGCTTCTACCTTCACTTGGAAGTACTAAATGAAGATTTCCATTACAGGCGCTCGCAGCACATATCCGATCAGTTCACACACATGTTCGACCGTATGTTGTTTGTGAAAAAAATTTAGACCTTTCAATTTTAAAATAAACAGGCGCTGCTATGACAAAATATCCCGCTAATGAAGGGTCAACGAAAGAGATAATTTTTTTAATTACTTCATTGTGACTGTAGGTCAACAAGGAATGAGGAAAATCACAGAAATTGGATTGTTTTGCTCCAGAAAGAAGGGGAAACAGCTCATTTCACAATCTTCTCCTGCTACCTACTAGGTTGAAATGAGATTCGAGTCCGGTATCATCATGCATTTAAAATTTCTCTGCCTTCGCTTATTGCAGCTATTGTTCCCAATGAGCCTTTCTAGCGCCCCGCTCATTTCTGCTGCAGCTGGGATTGTCTGAGAAGGGAAGAAGCAAGATTTCCAGTTGTAAGCCCTTCCCCAGTCTTTAGAAATGATTACTATTTCTTCAAAATTTACTGGCGGGTGCAAAGCGAGCTAATTTTTGGTCTTTTCAGTTTCAAATGTGAACAGTGTGGGAAATGTTTTGTACGTCGAAACGATCTGCGGATGCACGCTGACGTTCACAACACAGATAGTGTTTACAGCTGCCCAGCATGTGCTCAGAATTTCCTGCGCAAGGCTCAGTATCGGAAACATGCCAAAAAGTGCGCACAATAGCGCCCGGATTTTTAAATTTTGTAATGCATTGTTCTTCTGTGCCACTAGAAGGCCAGTTACAATAAAATTCATTGTAAGGTCTAATCCTAGCTGAGGTCGCATCATATAAGGGTGTTACGGGTAATAGTTGCTTAAGGGCATAGCTGAAGTACGCCGCTTGATCTGCAAACCAGCCGAAAAAATGGTGCAGTTTCTTTGATTGCTCGCCACCCTTTTGATTAGCGTTAGATGACCATGGAAGCTAAAAAGCTCCTAAGATGCGAGAAATTAAATAGCTGGAGATGAATGTTGTACTATGAAATCTGAATTATGTAGAGTGTACATTTTAGTAATGCCAGTAAATCCCCAATGGCTGTCTGTAAGATTCCAGCGAAATGATCTCACCTGTGTTAGGGTTATCTTTCTCTTCAGCCCTTTCATTCATTAACAGTTATTTCTTTTGTCTCGCCTTATCTCCGCATTATGTATTTCATCTAGCCAGCTTCCAGGCACTTTTATTCGTTTTCATTAAATGTAGCTGCATTCAAACCAGAGGCCGGCATTTTGGGTTTGTTTTTGCTTGGAATGAAAGCTTTGAAGTTGTTTTCCCCCTTGTTTTAGCTTGGATTCTTTCTTCATACAACAGCAGAACGAACAAAATGCAAAATAAATCGGTGGTTACTTTGTCCTCCGTCTGATGATCTGAGCTTCTAAATAAGTATGGGAGTCAGCCTTGCTTGAAAAATGAAATGTGATCAGCGAAGGACGAGTGTCAGATTCTGAGGCGTATCGCAATCTCGCAATTATGAGCGTGAAGCTTTTCTCGTTTTGAATTAATAAAATAGACGGGCAGTCTACTCGACAACAAATTTACCAAAAACCGATTACCAGGAGGATGAAAATACGGGAGCTTTACTACGAATTGTCTCGTGGGACCAAAATAATGAAATCGTCTTTTACATTTTACGACATTCTGATCCTGGAACCGCACAAGGGATTTTGTCCCTTCTTCTCTTTCCTTGAGCAAATCGTAATGCATCGTGCGGCGATAAACTGCATATTTGTTTTACTGCAGTCCTATTTGATCCGCTTTTGATTTGCAAAGGACTGAATCACCCCGCTAATTTATAAAAAGCTTAGCAGTGCATTTGAAATGGTGATGCTTTTGCCGGTTCAGCAGCCACCTTTAATATCTCAGCGCCCATTTCGAAATCGTTACTCGTTTTTTGCACGTGAGATCAACAAACTTATTCAGGAGCCAGAAGTGTTTGTTTTACATTCACTTAATTTTTCCTCTGCGAATTCAGAATCTAGTTTTCTTTTCACTGACTGTAAGTTGGTTTAACAGAACGTTCAGTGACTGCGAACGTTCAGCACCTACAAAAAGAATTCGATAAAGACCGGCACAAAAGTATTTCTGCCACGTCTAGCCTTACTAGTAATTTTATTATCAAACTGTAAAAGGCATACAAGAAGAATGAATAACCCAGGCTGAAATGCACCAGGCCTGCTGGTGCGATCATGCGTTTTTGCACTAGACTTGAAGTACTCAGGTCGTCAATTGCATGAATGGTTATTGCTTTACACCTACCTTTTGCTGCTACTAGCGCATTCGTAAATTTTGCATAAAGTAAATGAACAGTTTTCGTTTAACGGTCGTTTTTCGAAAATGACCTAGCTGTTTAGTGAGCAGTTTTCCCGCCGAAATTTCAAATGTCCGTACTTTAGAGCCACACATCGTTAGAGGCCGAATTTGAAATATTTAAGTTGTATTTGGGCAGGGAACACTCCCTCAAAATTTCAGCCTTCTAGCTTTTCTGGTTCCTGAGTTAATAATTTTCCCACCAAAACTTTTACATGTCCGTATGTGAAAACCTCGCATATGAGGGCTGAATTTAAAATCTTTAAGTTGTACGCGAGCGGGGAATATACCCTCAAAATTTCAGCCTTCCAGCTTTTCTGATTGCCAAGTTTGTCCGGATAAAAATTTCACGTGCCTGTACATGAGAACCATGCACACCAACGGGCCGAATTTAAAATCTTTAGCCCATACATGCACACAGAATATCCCTGGAAAGTTTCAGATCCCTGTTCTTTCTAGTTCTCGAAGACACTTTCCCGCCAAAAAATTCTCATATTTTTTAAGGCATTCATGCATGGCACCCAACCTTACGATGATGATAATATTAAAACGGAAGGGTCGCACAGGTGGTGGCCACATTCTGCCGAAGTTTCAGCTTTCTAGTTATTCTAGTTCGCGAGTTGAAAGTGGGTGACAAAAAGTGCGAACACACAGACACACATACAGCCTGTTGCCAATATGCCTTTGTGCATTTACACATATGCAAACCCAGGCTGAAACGCACCGGGCGGGCCCGTGCGATCATGTGTTTTTGCACCCGACTTGAATTACTCAGGTCATTAACTGTATAAATGGCTGTTGCTTTACACCTGCCTTTTGCGGTCA